AGAGAGAGAAAACAACTACTTAGAAAACAGAAAGAGATATTTAAGAAGAAGAAAAGAGGGATAAGAAGAAGAAGAAGAGAAGTAACAAATAATAGGAAGTAAAAATGATAATGAAGATGATGACAGCTGATGACCACCACCCACCCACCACACGCCCACCCACCCACCACACGCCCCTGGTATACAAGGCAGGAAGTGTAGTGTTTGACTCTCAGCTGTCTGTCTGTCTCCCACCACCACCCGCCGGCCACCTGAGGGAGGAGAGGGAAGGAAGGACGGGAAGAAAGGCAAGAAGGAAGGAGAGACAACTAGATAAAGAGAGTCGGAGAGTATTTGAGGAAGACAGAGGAGAAGAGAGGAGTTTTGTATGTTCCTGTATGTATGTATGTATGTATGTATGTATGTATGTATGTGTGTATGTATGTATGTATGTGCATGTGTGTATGAGCCACAGTGTTGTATTACAAGATAAATACACCAAAAGGGATTAATTACTTCCTCGCTGTAATTTCATCCCCATCGACTTGCTGACGTCACCCCAAGCAAGAGAGAGGGGGGGGGATGTGTGTGTGTGTGTGTGTGTGTGTGTGTGTGTGTGTGTGTGTGTGTGTCTTTAATATTTAAGGTAACACACAACCTAAAACCCTTTAATAAGTCCCTTAATAGTTCAGGTAATTACAGGTAGATTAAGTCATGGCTCAAGCTATCATTTTCTCGTCACCTGGCTGGCTCTTCCCACGCTCAACGAGGTAATGGCCTGGTTAAGGGACAGTTGGGGCTGTTAGTGGTGTGAATCTTCAGGGCTGGAGTTTTAAGGGCCCTCCATACCTCGATTTTAGCCTGAAGGGTAGGAGGTGGGGGTAAGGGGAATAGGCGGTTAATTTTAAAGTGGAGAGAGAGAGAGCATATGTGTGTGTATTTTATGAACGTACATGTGTGTGTGTGTGTGTGCTACAGGAACAAGCCAGGATTGTTTTAGGTAATATAATGCACTCTGGGGGAGGCTAGGGTGGGGTGCGGGGTGAAGGGGTAAGTGGAAGAGGTTCAGGGCCAGACATACCCTAACCTAACCTATCCCAACCTAACCTATCCCAACCTAACCTATCCCAACCTAACCTATCCCAACCTATCCCAACCTAACCCAACCTAACCCATCCCAACCTAACCTCACCTACAACACGATCCTGTAAATGTAAAAGAAAATGCATTATTTTTTTTCAAGTTAATTTTATGGACTTACTCGTGTTGTGAGAGTCTCAGGACAGTTTTGACGCCATCTTGTGAGGAATCGACTGAGGGACTGTACTGAGGGAGGTGCTGTCCTGGCGTGTTCAATTAGTGGTGAAGGTTGTCTCCCGTCCCTTGTGTTTTGGGGGAGAAATTAGTGTGAGGATATGTTGAGGTGGGGGGAGGGTGGGGGCTCGTGTTGGGGGTGTTGGGGAGGGAGTGGCTAGAAGGAGGAGGGTGGGGATTGCTTGTTGGAGAGGGGGAGTAGGATTTGTGTGTTGGGGTATATACGTGCCTGTTGGGGATTGTTTGTAGTGGAGGATTATGTAGGGGGCAGGAGGGGTGATTATATATGTTTGGGAGGGGGGGTGACTATACATCTAGATCACAATAAAGACCCCCAGAGAATACCCATTATATCGGGCACCACCAGTACCCAGCATGACCTCTTGACCTTGATTGAGGTGGAGGGAGGGGTTAGTAACACACACAAGAGGTCAAAGGTCAACATATTTTACACATCAAAGAGACTAAACTGACTTGACCATTACTTAAGTATGAACTGTGACTTAATAGTGTAAGTCTATCGGTTGTTGCTGGGTAGTGTGTGACTGACTGACTGACACACACACACACACACACACACACACACACACACACACACACACACACACACACACACACACTGAGGTTCTGTATCACCTGCAAGTGGTTCATCTGATAACACCAATTCCCGGTCAACGAATACCATACCACCTCCAATAGGCACTCTACGCCACCATAACACACCCTACACCACTCCTTAACACACCCTACACCACCCTAACACACCTCCTACACCACCCTGGACATTCCAATTAATCTCACAACCACCCTAACACACCCTAACACACCCCTAACACACCTCACACCACCACGTCCCCTGTTCTTACCCACGACAAGTTCTCAGAAGACACGAGGCCAGAACAAGCAGGTCTTTTGGTGATGTTTTTCGCACTTCTGTTAAATGTTGGTTAGGTTATAGCGTGACGGCTGCCTAGGGGGTGAAATAAGGGGTAAGGGGTGTTTGTGTCAAGGGGTAAAGGGTGACTGAGAAAGTTAAGGGGTGAACTGGTTAAGGGATTTAACATCTTAAGGAGTTAGACGTCTTAAAGGGTGATTTAAGGGGGAAGGGTTGAACGTCTTAAGGGGTGAACTTCTAAAGACTTAAAACACAGGACGTGGGTTGGTTGTTGTAGCGGTTGCAGGAGTTATTACAGTCAGGTGGTCGAGATGGGGGCAGGGGGGGTGAGGGGCGTGGGAGGGGTGTGATGGATGGGAGTGAGGTAGGGGACATGTAGGGAAGGGAAGGACAGATTGAGGGGAGAGGAGGGGGGGAGGTGGAGGAATCTGGAATGAGAATGAGGGGACGTGAGGGGCGGAGTAGACAGTAAGGAGGATGAGGAGGAGGTGGACGGCTTGAAAGAGGGGGTGGAGGTGTGGGGTTAAGGGGGGGGGGTGGGTTAAGGGTGGGTGGCTAAGGGGTGAACCAACCCTTGTGGCGCTGCCGGAACCTCAGAAAGCTATTTGCATACCACGGTGTGATGGTGCCCAGATGGTGGGGAGGGGGGTGAGGTGCTACTCAGGTGCGGGAGGAAAGTACGTGGAGGGGGTAAGGAGGAAGAATAAATACTAGAAGGGGGTGAGGGTGAGAGGGGGGAAGTAATTAGGAAGGGGTGAGGAGGGGAGAGGGGGGAAGTACTAGAAGGGGGTGAGGGAGGGAGAGGGGGAAGTACTAGAAGCATAAAGGAGGGGAGGAGAGGGGGGGAAGTACTAGAAGGGGTGAGGGGAGGGGGAAGAGAGAGGGGAGGAGGATTAGTGAGAGAAGGGGAAGTGAGGAAAGTACAGTTGAGAGAGAGAGAGAGCGGTATTGATTAGGTGGAGGAAGAGGAGCTAAGAGGAATAAGTGGGAGGGAGGCAACAAGAGAAGATGGAGAAGGACGAATGGAGGAAGAGGAGGAGGGAGAGGAAGAAGGACATTAAGTGGAGGAAATGACAAGAGATAGACAGTGGGCAGGAGGGAGGAGTGGATAATGGCTGGGAGAGGACACGTGATTTAGGCCCTGAAGACATGCCAGGTGGAAGGGGTATGTATACTAGGAGGAAGGGGTATGTATACTAGGTGGAAGGGGTATGTATACCCAGGATGAAGGGTATGTATACTAGGTGGAAGGCATGTATACTAGGAGGAAGGGTATGTATACTAGGAGGAAGGGGTATGTATACTAGGAGGAAGGGGTATGTATACTAGGAGGAAGGGGTATGTATACTAGAGGAAGGGCACACACAGGAGGAAGGGTATGTATACTAGGGGTGGAAGGGTAGGAGGAAGGGTATGTATACTAGAGGAAGGGGTATGCATAGAGTGAAGGGGTATGTATACTAGGAGGAAGGGTATGTATACTAGGTGGAAGGGGTATGTATGGGACTAGAGGATAAGTATGTATACTAGGAGGAAGGGTATGTATACCTAGGAGGAAGGGGTATGTATACCAGAGGAAGGGCATGTACACAGGCAGCCAAGTATGTATACTCAGGAGGAAGGCATGGCAATGGTGAGGAAGGGGTATGTAATTAGGTGGAAGAGGTATGGCACAGGAGGAAGGTATGTATACTAGGAGGAAGGGGTATGTGACAGTAAATGAGTGTATACTAGGAGGAAGGGTATGCATAATAGAGGAAGGGTGTATACCAGGAGTGAAGGGTATGTATACTAGGTGGAAGGGTAAGGGTATAATAGAGGAAGGGTATGTATACTAGGAGGAAGGGGTATGTATACTAGGTGGAAGGGGTATGTATACTAGGTGGAAGGGGTATGTATACTAGGAGGAAGGGGTATGTATACTAGGTGGAAGGGGTATGTATACTTACCTGTCCTGAGAGGCTGATGACACCTGTATTCTCGCTCATTAAGTAAGTGACAGGTGAGGTACCACTAGAACGTTTGTGTTGTGTGTTACTTGGTGTGTTGTGTGTTACTTGGTACTTGGTGTGTTACTTAAGTATTTGTGTGTTTCTTAATGATTTGCATGTTACTTAAAACGTTATGGTTTACCTGGTGTGTTGTGTTACTTGGTGTGTTGTGTGTTACTTGGTGTGTTATGTTACTTTATACTACGGCACGTTCCGTAATATATACTTTCAAATTACAAACTTTCTTAAAACATGACTCAAGTGTTTATTGATGTCAACAGTATTTTTTTCACTTATTTCTACTTATATTTACTTAAAACTTCCCTCACTTATAAGATTTATATATATTGATGTTATATAAATTTTAATGGAATATAAATTTTCATATATTACACGTTTATATGTGTGTGTATACAAGGGGTGTACACATGGGGTGAAGGTGTACACATGGGGTGAAGGTGTACACATGGGGTGAAGGTGTACACAAGGGGTAAAGGTGTACACAGGGGGTAAAGGTGTACACAGGGAGTGAAGGTGTACACAAGGGGTGAAGGTGTACACAAGGGGTGAAGGTGTATACAAGGGGTGAAGGTGCACACAGGGGGTAAAGGTGTACACAAGGGTTAAAGGTGTACACAGGGGGTGAAGGTGTACACAAGGGGTGAAGGTGTACACGAGGGGTGAAGGTGTATACAAGGGGTGAAGGTGTACACAAGGGTTAAAGGTGTACACAGGGGGTGAAGGTGTACACAAGGGGTGAGGGTGTACACATGGGGTGTATACATAGCCTCCTGAACATGTATTCTTCCTGTGGTTTTCAGGATGTGTCTTCCTGCCTCCTGATATTGACTTCACTTCAGAACTTTCAGGTACAGTTTAGGCCCCCTTAATCCCCCCTTACCTCCCTTACAACCCCTTATTTCCCCAGTCCATCCCTTTTTCCCCCTTACCCCCCTTAATTCCCCCTTACCCCTCTTACACCCCTTAATTTCCTTCCCCAGCCCATGTTATAGTCCCCCTTACCCCCTTACCCTCCCTTACACTCCCTTAATCCCCACCCTCCCTATCCCATCCCTCGTCCATCTAGATTAGTTACGTATCTCCATCTATCCACCTGCCACGCTTTTCCACTTGTCACGCCTATCCACCTGCCACGCCCCCTTCCACACGCCCTATCCCACCTACTGTCACGTGCACGCCCCCTTCCTTCTCCTTGTCACCCACGCATGGTGTTAGTTTGTGTGTGTGACGTCATGAGTGTACACGTGACGTCACAAATGGGTACACGTGCTCTCCCTCCCTCTTGTGACGTCATGAGTGTGCACGTGACGTCACAAATGGGTACACGTGCTCTCCTCTCTCTCTTGTGACGTCATTACCAGTAACTATTCCCTTTGCCGTGTGTGTGTGTGTGTGGGGGTAGTGGTGGGTGATTGTTGTTGTAGTGGTAAAGTAGATTGTTGTTGTAGTGGTGGTAGATAGTTGTAGTGATGATAATTATACAGGTAAGTTGTATATTTGTGTTACATATATATACAGTATATTGATGTTATTACTTAAGATGTGTGTGTGTGTGTGTGTGTGTGTGTGTGTGTGTGTGGGTGGATAGGGTGGGGTGACCAGGTTGGGGTAGGTAGGGTGGGTAGGTGGGGTGTGTAGGTGGGCTGTGGTGGGCTAGAGTGGGTTGTGACAGGAACTCCAGCCATTGTAGAAAGTTCAATATGTCCTCCAGATCCTCAGTAAGCTTCTGGACACACAGGGCGGATGTTGACTCTATACCCCAGCGGCTTCTCCCTCCTTCCCTCCAGGGTGAAGTGTATCTCCCTGGGTCGTGTGGTATATCTCCCTGTATGATGGGTAGTATCTCTTATCTCCCTGGGTCGTGTGGTATATCTCCCTGGATGATGGGTAGTATCTCTTTATCTCCTGGGTCGTGTGGTATATCTCCCTGGATGATGGGTAGTACCTTTTTTATCTCCCTGGGTCGTGTGGTATATCTCCTGTATGATGGGTAGTATCTCTTATCTCCCTGGGTCGTGTGGTATATCTCCCTGGATGATGGGTAGTACCTTATCTCCCTGGGTCGTGTGGTATATCTCCCTGGATGATGGGTAGTATCTCTTATCTCCTGGGTCGTGGTATATCTCCCTGATGATGGGTAGTACCTTTATCTCCCTGGGTCGTGTGGTATATCTCCCTGGATGATGGGTAGTACCTTGTATCTCCCTGGGTCGTGTGGTATATCTCCTGGATGATGGGTAGTATCTCTTATCTCCCTGGGTCGTGGTATATCTCCTGATGATGGGTAGTACCTTTTATCTCCCTGGGTCGTGTGGTATATCTCCCTGGATGATGGGTAGTATCTCTTATATCTCCCTGGGTCGTGTGGTATATCTCCCTGGATGATGGGTAGTATCTCTTATCTCCCTGGGTCGTGTGGTATATCTCCTGGATGATGGGTAGTACCTTTTTATCTCCTGGGTCGTGTGGTATATTCTCCTGGATGATGGGTAGTACCTTTTATCTCCCTGGGTCGTGTGGTATATCTCCTGTATGATGGGTAGTATCTCTTATCTCCCTGGGTCGTGGTATATCTCCCTGGATGATGGGTAGTACCTTTTATCTCCCTGGGTCGTGTGGTATATCTCCCTGGATGATGGGTAGTACCTTTTTATCTCCCTGGGTCGTGTGGTATATATCCCTGGATGATGGGTAGTCTTATCTCCCTGGGTCGTGTATTTATCTCCTGTATGATGGGTAGTACCTTTTATCTCCCTGGGTCGTGTGGTATATCTCCCTGGATGATGGGTAGTACCTTTTATCTCCCTGGGTCGTGTGGTATATCTCCCTGTATGATGGGTAGTATCTCTTATCTCCCTGGGTGTGTGGTATATCTCCTGGATGATGGGTAGTACCTTTTATCTCCTGGGTCGTGTGGTATATCTCCCTGTATGATGGGTATCTCTTATCTCCCTGGGTCGTGGTATATCTCCTGGATGATGGGTAGTCCTTTTATCTCCTGGGTCGTGTGTTATATCTCCCTGGATGATGGGTAGTACCTTTTATCTCCCTGGGTCGTGTGGTATATCTCCTGGATGATGGGTAGTACCTTTTATCTCTGGGTCGTGTGGTATATCTCCTTAATGATGTGAGGATTATTACCATGAATTTTGGTTGAGACATTGTGAGAGTGAGTGTGTGAGAGTGAGTGTGTGTGTGTGTGTGTGAGAGAGTAGGTGTGTGAGTGTGTGTGTGTGAGAGAGTGAGTGTGAGAGAGTGTGTGTGAGTGTGAGAGAGTGTGTGAGAGATATTGTACTGACAGCGGAAATAGACGAGTGACTGGTGATTGGGTTAGCGACGGAGGGCCTGCGTCACCAATCCTGTTAGCATTTTGAGTGAGCCAATCAGCTTCCACTTATTGTCTGGCTGAAACACTCCTGACTACCTGTATAACTACCTGATGTGTGTTTCCTTGTTTGTTTGTTTGTTGTTGTTGTTATTTGTATTGGGTGAGATGACCGGGTTTGGGATGTGGGTCAGCCCAGGAGTGTATGTATGTATGTATGTATGTATGTATGTATGTATGTATGTATGTATGTATGTATGTATGTATGTATGTATGTATGTAAGTCAGGGGGTACTCAAGACTTTCACGTACTCAACAGGAAATGAAATCTTCACTACACGAACCACAAACTAGCTTAAAAAAATAGAAAGCCCAATAGAAACTACATAACCTAATAGTCCTCAAAATAGCCACTGATAACTATTCCTGCTAGTTAATGAGCTATTGATGAAAAGTAATTCTAATATGCAATGTTTATCTATAGTAGTACAGTACAGAGCTGTTGGTGTTAATGTGTCTTGAGGGAGGGATGGAAGGGAGAGGGAGGGAAGGAGGATAGGAGAAAAAAGAGGAGGGAGGGGTGGGAAGGAGAAGAAAGAAAGAGGTGGGTGGGTGGAGGAAGGAAGTGGAAGAGAGGAGAAGGAGGAAGGAAGAAGGGGAGAGGAGGAGTTCATGGACAGTCATGCACCAGATCACCGAGTAATGATATACTGTGTTCACCACCACTGCTACCAACACACACACACACACACACACACACACACACACACACACACACACATACACATACATACATGCATACATTCTCTCTCTCTCTCTCTTCTCTCTCTAAAGCATGACTGCAACAGAAACTCAATCCAGTGTAACAGTAAAAAGAAAAAGAGTGAGAGAGAGAGAGAAGAGAGAGAGAAGAGTCAGTGAGGGAGGCTGTTGGGCCAGAAACCCATGATTAATGTGAATTTCTGTACCCAATATATGAACCCTGGCAGTAAGTGATGTGCTTGTGCTGGCCGGGGGGGGAAGGTAGGGAGATAGGAGTGGGGGATTGGGGTAGTGGAAGTAGGGGAGGAAGGGGTGGGTTAGAGTGGGTAGGAGGAGGGGTAGGGGAGGGATGGGGTAGAGAGGTGGGAGGAGGGGGAGGGGGAGGGGAGGGAGTATGGGAGGGAAGAGTGGGAGGTAAGGGAGGGGAGTATGGGAGGGAAGGTGGGGGGTAAGAGGAGGGAGGGAGTATGGGAGGGAAGGTAGGGGCAGGGGAGGTATGGGAGGAAGGTAGGGGCAGGGGAGGGTATGGGAGGGAAGGTAGGGGTAAGGGGGAGGGGTGGGAGGAAGGTAGGGGTAAGAGGAGGGAGGAGTATGGGAGGGAAGGTGGGGGGGGTAAGGAGGAGGAGTATGGGGAGGGTAAGGGAGGGAGTATGGGAGGGAGAAGATGGGGGGGAGGGGGAGGAGGAGTATGGGAGGAAGGTAGGGGCAGGAGAGGTAGTATAACCTCTCACATATCTACACATAAGTCACATATTACAACCATCCTACATATAAATAGCTTAAATAGCCTATATATTACATCTTAATAGACAATAACCCCCCCTCCCTCCCCTCAGTGAAGTTGTACCTTGATCATCTCGAGTGTTAGGTGGAGGAGATGATGGCCCTGAGCGTGTCTGCATCACCATATACATAAGATATAACTTTTGTAAACAATGACACGTGTGAAGTGGGTGTAAACAAAGTGATTATGGAGAGTAAACACGGAGGTAGAGTCAACAACTTATCATGGCACAAGACACAACAAGATGAGAGATTTGGTTCATTTTGTCTCGTGTGTCCGTTATATCCGTTGTGTCCGTTATATCCGTTGTGTCCGTTATATCCACATGTCCGTTATATCCACATGTCCGTTATATCCACATGTCTGTTATATCCACATGTCCGTTATATCCACATGTCCGTTATATCCACATGTCGTTTTATATCCACATGTCCGTTATATCCACATGTCCGTTATATCCACATGTCCGTTATATCCACATGTCCGTTATATCCACATGTCCGTTATATCCACATGTCCGTTATATCTGTGTTTGTTGAGGGGAATAACATTGTTTGTTTGCTATATAATAAGAAAAGGTTTGTGTCAGTTTGTTCACTTTGTGTACTTATAAAACCTATAAGACGGCACTTTTAACGGGGGTAAACGGAGGTAGCGGTGAAACGTGGTGCCGCAGGGGTTGGTGGGGGGGGGCAGGTGAAGTAAGTGTGGCGGCAGATGGTGGAGGCTGCGGGTGGTAGGAGTGATCGCACGTTCACCCGTTCTCCTCCCCCTCCCTCCTTCACCGCCGCAGCCGCAGTCCGTATACACGACTGGCTAGCTGGCCGCTCCTCCACTTGCCGCACCCAGTTTTCTGCGGCAGCCAACAGCATCACTTATACCACCTACCACCATCACTTACCACCTACCACCATCACCGCTACTACCACCTACCACCACTAACTTGTAGCTTGGCAGTGTTGGTGTAACCTGACTAC